AACAGTTTAAAAGTGATGATCGCATATTTTACTATTTATTTACTCCAAAAGTTACATTTTCTTGTGATAAGTTGGATGAAAATGAAAGGGATTTCAGAGATTTGTGCCTTTATGACTAGTTAATAATAAGGCAACATTCTTAAGATTTTTTGTCTAATTTCTAGTCAAAATGGAAGTTGCTGGAGCTGTTGCTCTTTTGGATTCATGTGTAGGCATTATTTAAAGTCATCTTACTTTCAAAATTTTTATGTAGGTTCTACATGGTCAAGCTGGCAATATTATGCTTCCACATGGACCATTTTATTTTGCTTCCACGTGGCCACTTCAATACTTAAAGGGCATCAAACTTTAGTTAATCTCTCTCAAAAGCTAATGGAAAGGCTTGCGATTTGTCCCAAGTTCCAGGAGCAAGCCAAGAGTTGCTTAAGCACTGTTCCCTTCTCATCCGCATCAAAATTCCCACTTCTAATTCAAAACCAACGGATCCGATCAACCTCTCCCTCCTCAAGAGAGTACTTCCTTCACCAAATTTTCAGTCGGTGGATCTTTGCAAGAAGATGAATCTGGAGCATTGGGTTGATTAATTTTCGAAAAATGGCAAATATGACCTGGAAGGTGAAATTCGAGCTGCACAGTTTGGGGGATAAGGAAAAGGAAGCAGAGGAATGTTATTCCCTCTTGCTCCTAACTTGTTTGATTTTCTTGTGGTTTGTTCTCTTATATTATGGGTTTTGGCGTGAAGGTATTAAAGAGAGAGAGTGGTTGTTGATGTTTTAAATGGATTTACTGAGTTATCCAAATCAAGGGGTAAATAACAGCAAGTAGACCAAAGGCACAAGGGAAGACGTTGGCAAATGGAGAAGGTGATCAAGGTGTGTGTATTGTACGAAGTGGCAAGGAGTTAAGGGTTTCTTCCGTTTCTTTTGTTCTAATGTTGTCAATAAATGGGTTACAATTCATTGTCGGTTACGAAAGAAGAAAATTAAAAACTGAAGAGGAAAAAGAAAATGGGGGACTGATCAATCAAAAAAAGAGAAAAAGAAGAGACACACGGAAGACCGATTTTTGGCAGGAAGAAAGGCTACGGCAGAGCAGAGGAGTTTACAGGGTTTTCTAAACTCAATTTTCTTTTAATTTTATTATGAATTCAATGATATTTCCAATTATGTTTCGGAACTAATTTTCCTTAGCTAGGGCTACGATGTAGCCATGACTATGAATGCTTAATTTCTGAAGTGAATTATTTCAAGTTTTCAATTTCATTGAGTATCGTTTGCTGTGTTTATATGCTTGGTTTTAGTCTTGGTGATTAGCTACCATCTTGACTTTTACTTGGTAAATTTGATGCAAGTTGTGCAGATGCCATGTTTTCAACTTGAGTGATAGCTTCTTGCAAATAGATACCATGAATTACCTAGTAGTAGATGCCATACTCTAGGATTTGTGTAGTCTTTATATAAATTTCCAGTGATCGTAATGAGTTTCATGATGTTAAACTATTCCAGATGCCATGGATGGTTGCAAATTGAGATATATGTAATAGTCTAGATGCCATAGATATTACATGTGTTAGGGAAATTTGACTATCAATGAGATTGAGTACTTGTTAATAATTTGTTGCAGGAAATAAGTAGGATTGGTTATGGTGAGTCGGACGCTCTAGCGTTTTGCTCGACTGAATTACAATTTGTGTTCTTGGCTGCCACTATTTGCATTGTGATCAAACTTTCTTGTTTTTATTTGTTTTTACTATTAGTTTCAATTCTCAAAAACATCTTTCATCAATCTTTGCTAGTTTCACTTCGTTGCAATTGGATTTAAGTTAGTTGATAAGAATTAAATCGTTTTCTAAGGGACGATATTAAGTGCTTGCTTTCTATACTATCAAACGATTCGTACGCTTGCGAGCATAAAATTTGGAACTAAGTTGGACTAATTTCGGTTAGTTTAAATTTCGCAACAAAAAGCACAGATAATGTCATGCTTTGATGACCATTCCAGCAGCATTACGTTATGAGCAAAATTTCTTTTACCTTGTAAACATAACGAACTGTTCAAATCAAGGTTTCTTTTCTTGTTCTAAATAGTAAAAGAAATCATGATTTCACACCAGGAAGGATACTGAGATGAGGTGAGGTTTGAGTCTGAGGTGAGGTGAATGTCAAGAGACTGAAAGAGAGAGAGTCAGACACTGGGTTTAATAACTTTGATTTATATGCAACGGTTAAGATTAAATCTCAACAAAATCCAACAGCTATTAAAATTCTAAATATATATATTTAAAAATTAAATAATATATATATATATATATATATATATTTCGGTTCGGTTTGGGATTACCGAAATCCCAAAAAATTGAGACCGATTCCAGTAGCGAAATTTTAGGATCGGTTCGGTATTGGGTATCGAAATTTTCGGGAATTTCAGTTTTGGATTTTTTCGGTTTGGTTTGGGATTTTTTTTCTAGCCCTACGTTCAACCATGCATGCCGTGAATTGTGTTGATAAGGATTGCTTAATATGATTATCAAACAGTGGTTGATTATCCATTAGTATCAAGATGTGTTCACGGCAAAGGCTCTTGCACTGGCTGTCTCACAGTTTAGTATTATAAATACAGGGGTATCTACAACATTGAGAGGCCTCCTCCAAAATCAACACACAATACACCTTCAGTTTGGATAAACAGCATTGTGGAGGCAACCGACAACATCTTCAGTTTGGATAAACAGCACTAGAGCCTTAGAATCAGCCGATCGATGAGCACCTTCAATTTGGATAAACAACACTGCTTCGAGACCGACTGGTTATTTATCCAAATCCCAGTCAACAAGGATTTCCGAGTCCTTGTTGGAAGAGGTCATCTCATTAGCCTTCTCGGCGAAGTGAGGTGTTACTAGGTTACTACATTCGACACATTGAAAGCCGAATTTGATATTGAACTTCAGAGAATTAGCAACCTTGTCTTCAGGCTCTTGAACCCGAAGGCCGAGACGTGTTTCTTCCTCGGTGACAATCGCGAGATCAAGAAGTCAGTAGCGCACCCAACGCCACATCAACACATTCATTTACTCCCTGGCCGAGCTCGGCCAACGAGTTGGCACACCTCGCATTCGAGCGAATGACGTAGTTAGCTTATTAATTACTAGCCTATGCGGCGCATAGGCTAAGTAGTTTTTAAGGTCAACAAGATGTTAGGCATATTTGCTTGAATTTGGTTCGAAAATTGGTTGAAATTGTGCATAATATATACATATTTTGTGCATGTTCTTTTGATATTGCTGGAAATAATTGATTGAATTTGGTTCATGAATTGGTACATATTATGTGCATGTGTATATGTTGGGCATACTTGCTTGAATTTGGTTCATGAATTGGGTGGATTTAAGCATGCATATCCTGTGTGCATGTTTATGTTATTAAACACGTAGGCTAAGTAGATTTTAGGGTCAACAAGATGTTAGGCATACTTGCGAATTTGGTTCATAAATTGGTTGAATTTGTGCATAATATATACATATTTTGTGCATGTTCTTTTGATATTGCTGGAAATAATTGATTGAATTTGGTTCATGAATTGGTACATATTATGTGCATGTGTAGATGTTGGGCATATTTGCTTGAATTTAGTTCATGAATTGGGTGGATTTGAGCATATAATGTGCATATACTATGCATATCTTGTGTGCATGTTTATGTTATTAATTTGATGTGTGTATAAAACCTTATGTTTGTCATTGTTGGATTCAAAGGCTCTGTTGAAAATCTTGCAGGTCAAAAGTCAATCTTCTCCTTCATCAAAACTCGTGTGTCTGCTAGATGAGGTGTTTCCTACCACTATTTCCTGTCTATCATACACCTTGGGGTGTCTGTGTAATATAAGAGGCCGATTTTCAAAAGATCAGCTCAAGAAATTCGAGGATTCTTGCTTTAGTCATTTGGTTGACGTGGACCGCATTGATCAGTTTGGCCAGCTCAACCACTAGCTATCCTTAGGGCTATTAAGGATAAAGTGATCGACAATTCCATATCCTTCCTGTACGAAAAAAAATGTCGCTAATAAAATTTTTAAAGTGCCAATAATATTTTTTGTTTTTATTTTATTTACAAAAACTTCATATAGCGGTATATATAAGTTCCATATGTATTCTTCTTTTTAAAAAGACACATTTAGAAAATGAAAAGATGAACCCAATATCAAATCAATGCTTTTGATTCTTTGTTAATAATTATTACTTCATATTAGAGTGTGGGTCCTTAAGTTTTATCCAACTAAGTTTCGTGTAAAGCTTATTAACACTAACGTCCAATAACCATAAGATGACGTGTTACGATTAGGATGTGACAAAATGGAGAAATGTTAAAAACCCACGAATCCGGATCCTCTCCGATCTTCTTTGTAAAGATTTTAAAAAAGGAAAATTAATGAAAAGGGTTTGAAAACTTTGAGTTTTAATGATAAGGACAAAATAAAGGGTAAAGTGAATAGTATCAGGATTGACTTTTTAGTGTAAAAATGTGGTTTTTCGTTAAAGTGAACAGTATCAGGTGCTTTTCGTTAAAGTTCCCTTTTAAAAATTCATAAATTATGTCCGTTTATCATACATTATACAAGTATAAATTATTTTAAATATTTTATTTAAAATTAAATACAAAAAATACCTAATAAAAATTAATTACACAATTTACGATGCATAAACACAATTTACGAATCCGATTGGCAAACCCACATTCCATTTTTTTATCATTAAAAACTACAATAATAGCATACCACGTGTCTACTCTGTAGGGTTATAATAGTCAAATCAAAATCAAATAAATGAAGGATGAAAAATTAAATTAATTCAAAAGTCCTTTTTCATGATTTGTTTTTAAAATAATAATGTACTCATTAAGCAGTGGGATGATAAATTTATTTATTTACAAAATTCGAATTAATAACTAAATTTTTTGTCTTTCTAGCATTGAAATAAACCGAAAGTTATATTTAAATAAAACAAGATAATACGATTATTTTGCCTTCCTTCTGCATTTACCGGCAAACTCTCTCTCTCTCTCTCTCTCTCTCTCTCTGCAAACGCCGATGGCTGAGAGACGCAGATTGCAAATCCGTGACCTTCTATTTCGTATAGATTATTCCGCCTACAGCTTTACGGTACTATTCTCACTCTCTAACATCTGTCTCTTTTGTTTGTTTGTTTCCCGAGAAAATAATTAGAAAGGGAATTTCACTCAAACACCAATCTGTGCTGCTTCTGTGAATAATTCAGACGAGTTCGAGCTCGCTGAAGATCTGAGAGACGCTCTGTGCATTTTGCAGACCACTGATTGGCCTGGTCGACGCTTTCATCTTCAGCTTAGCTGGTTGCTTCGGTCGCCACCGTCAACCTCCCCGCCTTTCCTTCACCCACGACGACGTTGTTCGACTCGCCGCCACCTCTCCATGTTTGTACACGAGCTTTTCTTCAATATATAACTTTTAAGAAATGAAAATATGTTTTTAAATAAATAATTAATTAATTGGATAATGTTTCTCTCTCTCTCTCTCTCTCTCTCTCTCTCTCTCTCTCTCTCTCTCTCTCTCTCTCTCACTCAGTTAGTGTGAATGAGGTGGAAGCATTGCGCGAACTGTTTAACAAGTTGAGTAGTTCCATTCTCGACGATGGATTACTTCACAAGGTTCATCAACTTATGCACGTCTTCTACAATTTTTAGTTTTAATTTCTTTGACATGGGTCGTGGAAATTATATCTTTTTCTTTGATTTTTTTTTCATTTATTAGTAGCTGAAATTTAATTAGTTGTTCATGTCCAGGAGGAGCTGAGGTTGGCGCTTTTCAAAACTCTAGCTGGTGAAAATCTTTTTCTTGATAGGGTAAGCTCACTTATGATATTCTAATTTAATCTAATCCTAACTGCGGGAAGGGAGATTGGATGTCGGATGCATAGGGAGAGCACATCCGCTCTAAGTTATCTTCCGGGTACATATATTAATTAGTTGCTGCTTTTTTTTTTTTTTCAAGCAAAATGGAAAGTGTGAAGATTTCATAATCTTTATTCTTTAGTGACATTCTTTAGCTTAATAGCCGCTTTTTCATCCTTCCATGTGAATGCAACATTTTTTTTCAACTAAGTAATGTGACTCTAAGCGATTTACGTTTCATCAATCTTGTCTGAACACTGAACCAACATATTTATTAATCTGTTTCCTTTCAATCTGTGATGAAATGGGATGTAGGTGTTTGATGTTTTTGACGAAAAGAAAGATGGAGTGATTGAATTTGAGGAGTTTGTCCACGCACTAAGTGTGTTTCATCCGTATGCTTCTCTTGAGGCCAAGATTGATTGTAAGTACTCAACAACCCAACGTCAGCTGCTTAACAATAAGTTTGGAGGCGTTTCGTGTTAAACGACATTGTCTTCTTCTTTCTCTTTGGTTGATTGCAGTCGCGTTTAGATTGTATGATTTGAGGCAAGCCGGATACATCGGGCGGGAAGAAGTAAGTATCTTGATGTGTTTGAGACTGTGAACAAGTTCTGTCGTTTCGGTTCATCATAGTTTTGTAAACAATTAATTCGTCTGTCGTATTACTTCTACGGTTCTACCTAACAGCTGCAGTTGCTTTCAGGTCAGGCAAATGGTAGTTGCTACTTTGTTGGAATCTGGCATTCAGATGCCGGATGAAACTCTTGAAGCTATCGTCGATAAGGCAAGAATTGTGGATGTTTTAAACTTGTGTTCCTTTACCTTTACTCTGAAGTTTTACACTCTCAAAGCTATGTTTTCTAGCTCAGACGTTTGAGGATGCCGACGTTGACAAGGATGAAAAAATTGGCAAAGACGAATGGAAAGCTTATGCTATTCGGTACCCAACACTCCTAAAGAACATGACCCTTCCATATTTAAAGTACCTTTCCCCTACTGTCATTCCTTTGCGTTCAATTCTTTTTACATTCTTCCCCAATCCATTTCTTCTCCTAAACATGTTCTAATTATGTTATTGACACGCCAGGGACATCACGACGGTTTTTCCGAGTTTTATTTTCAACACTGGAGTCGAAGACTGAAAATGTTGGTAAAATCAGAATCAGAAGATGTGCTGCGTTTTAGGATTGCTTTGACCAACAAAACGGAGCTGGGTTGATATGATTTTTACTCCTTGAAGGTTCCCCCTACTTCAACTGGCACAAGCATTTCTGGGATTGACCTAATAAAATCCAGCCACAACCTCATCCACAACTTTGTTAGCCAGTGGCAACATACTATGAGAAGATCATATCACCGCCGGTTCCAAGCCAGTGGCAACATACTATGAGAAGATCATATCACCGCCGGTTCCAGCGTGAGAAGATCATATCACCGGGTGCCCAGCAACAGCGCATATTCTCTTTTATACTTGTGGACATTGAAACTTCGGTAAAATAAATGTCACCAACAACTTAAATTTTGATTCGCTAAGACTATCTCCAAAGGAAATCTCAAATTATAAGTAGAATGTCATTTAATCAAATTTAAATGTAAGAATAAACTCCAACTAGTATGTCAATCCTATGTTAATTGATATATGAACGTTCATGAGAAAATGTGATGTCAATTTTTTTTTAGGTAAATTACATTTTCCCCCCTTAGATTTGGGTGCAATTACAACTTCTTACATCATCTTTAAAACATTTTAACCTCATACATTTAGTATTTATTTTATTTCAATTTCATACATCTGTCAAAAAAATCTATTAAATTAACCATTAAGTGATGATGCACAAATATGAAATCATCATTTATGCGTGGCTACAAACTTGTGTCATGTGGCTAAACAATTAATAAAAAACTTAAAATTTAATTAAAATATTAAAATAATAAATTTAAAAAAAATCCCAAATCTTCATCTTCTTCTTCCCTCGAGCCACCCCTTCTCCTACCACCACCCCCTTTCCCACCCGAGCCGCCCTTCTCCCATCACCATCCCCATCCCCATCACTTCCGCACCAACAAGCTTCTTCCTCCAGCACCACCACCATCAATTTTGGCCCACCTTCCTCATCTGCAAAGCCCAAAGCAACCCAGAAAACCCCAAGTCGTGCCCTACACCCCACCTCACCAGACGACTCGCCGCTCGCCACTCAGCTCCAAATGACTCGCTCAACTGGGACAAGTTTGGGGACTTCATCGCCACGCAATCCAATGAGGAACTCGACTCAGGATCATGGCACCCAATCTTCGAACTAGACCCCTTCAAGCCTGACCCAGCCATTCACCCTGACGTTGCGCTCATGGATGACGATGTTTTGGAGATCGAGGATGAGCTCGACTCGAGCTCTAGGCATCTCTGAAGACGACTAGGGCCTGGAGCTTTGAGACCCATCATTCAACTGAATTACTCGGATTTGGGATCTAGTGTTTCAATCGTAAATGTGGAATTCGGACAAAATTAGTTGCAAAAATGAGGAATTTGGGGTTTTTAGTTAGAGAAGGAGGTGCGGAAATGATGGGGGATGGGGGATGGGGGTGGTGATGGAAGAAGGGCGGCTCGGGTGGGGAAGGGGGTGGTGGTAGGAGAAGGGGGAGCTCAGAGGGAAAAAGAAGATGAAGATTTGGGATTTTTTTTATAAAAAAAATATATTATTTTAATATTCAAATTAAATTTTTTTATTTATTAATTGTTTAGCTGCATGGCACAAGTTTGCAACCACGTCAGCATAAATGACGACCTCATATTTGCCACATCATCACTTAACGGTTAATTTAACAAATTTTTTAACGGATATATGAAATTGAAATGAAATAAATATTAAATGAATGAGGTTGAAATGTTTTAAATATGATGTAAGAAGTTGTAATTGCACCTAAACCTGAGAGGGGAACTGTAATTTACCCTTTTTTTTTTTTTTTTTGAAACGAATACGATATCATTAAACTGGGAAAGTTTACACTGGCTCTTGGATGAGAAGGTCTCGAATAACAGTTGGAGGCTTCTCAATCCAGATAGTTTTGAACCACTAGACAATGTTACCTTTGCCAAATGGTGGGCAAATCCATTATTATTCCTAGAAACAAAAATAAAATTTGAAGCATTAAATATACTTGCACTATGAAGTACATCCCCCCTAATAAAGCCATTGTGGAAGCACAATCCACACAAGTGTTGATGATGGATATGGCTTGGGAGGAGTCACTCTCAATTCGTACCTTTTGGAACCCCAAATGTGATACCAATTCCGCCCCATGAAGGATGGCGTGCATCTCTGCATGAAGTGGCGACGAGATTGCAAGCAAAAACCGACGAGATTGCAAGCAAAAACCATGCCCCCGTTACCACAAAATTCCCATGTGCATCCTGCAAGACAGCACCTACCCCACCTACCTTGCCTTACAAATTTGTCGCCCCGTCCACACTAAGCCATACCCAACCCTCTTCCAGCACCCATCCCTCCATCCCGTGGCTGCACTTTTGCGGATTGGGCAACCCCATTGTTGTGCAACAGACCCGAGAACCGCAACAGCTTGAAATTCCTGCCACCATGCCATAGTGCGTTACGCTACCACCTCTGGAGACCCATGCTTTCCGCTCCAAATCCGATCATTGCTTTCCTGCCAAAGATGCCACATCACCATACAAGTAAAGTCGAAAGCATGATTTCTGCGTTATAGTAAAGCTAAAAACTACTCTTTAACGGTATGGTCGGGGTATTGAATCAACCAAGAAAATGAATGGGACCGCAAACCATGTGGCTCTAGTGAAGTGACACTCTTTTAGAACATGTACCTTTGCCTCAGGACCCTCATTACAAAAGACAAAAATCATATCTATCGATACTTCTTTCCTTGATAAATTTGACTTTGTTGGGAGAATGTTCTAGCAAGTTCTCTGCACCAAGTTCCTTACTTTCAACAGGACTTTAGCCCTCCATATAGCTTTCCATAATGGAGAGAAAGGGCTACCACCAGTGTCAGAAGAAGAAGCACTCACTGATGGGTTGTAACACAATCCCATGCAACCCAATAGGCATTCTTCACTATGAGTATCACACAATCACTATAATGGCAAATTATTTTATTGTGTGCGTCACATTAATGCACCAATTATAAATCTCAAAATTTTATTTTTTTATTGGTGTTTTTTTTTCAATGGACCCTACAAATATAATTTACAAAAAAAAAATCATATAGGTTAGAGGAAGAAAAAAATTTACGTTGTCATGTCAGCCATCAAATTAACATTTGACATTTATCTTTGAAAAATTGACATTAATGGGCCATATTCTTAATTTTGGGACCAAAATAGGAGTTTTAGGATATGCATAGAACATGCACATGACATACATAAGAATGTGACAGAAATAAGATTTTCTTAAAACTTGAAATAATCAAATTGCCTCCCATATAAATGGTTATTTTGTCCAACCCAATCAACATTTACTCATTGACGAAAAATTCCTTGCTTGACCCCCAGCTCGAAGAACCCTAACCCCCAAATAGCGCGACCCAATTCCTCTCCAATTTTCCAACCGACGCCCAGATTCTAATCTTTTCTATAAGTTTCACGGCCAAGGCGAGCTTGGTATCCATCGATTCAAACAATTGTAATGGAAAAATAAAAAAAGAGGTATGTTTTGAATTGAATTTTCATTATTTGAACCTAGGTTTTCCCAATTTGGGAACTTAGGGTTTTGGGTGCAATTGACTGTTTTGTACAGTTAATTTGGGGAAAATTAACGGATTAGGCTTTATGGTTATGTAATTACATGAAAGTTATATATTTTCTATCTAGGTGAGTCGCAACCTAAGCAGGTGCCTAAACAGGTCTGGGTGGGCTAGACGGGTGCCTCATCAGGTCTAGGTGCCATTTCTTAATTTTCAAACGCTTAAGCATTAATCAGGGCAGTGGCCAGCCGCCCCGCCTAGGCTGCGCTAGGCGGGGATTTTTATAACAGTGGTGCATACTGTGTACGTATTTTGTGCATGTGCTTTTGATATTGCTGGAAATTAATTGATTAAGTTGTACTTTGGTTATACGGTGTAGATGGTGGGCATACTTGCTTGAATTCGGTTCATGAATTGGTTGAATTTGTGTATACCGTATACATATCTTGTGCATGTGCTTTTGATATTGCTAGAAATAATTGATTGTATTTGGTTCATAAATTGGTACATATTATGTGCATATGTACATGTTGGGCATACTTGCTTGAATTTGGTTTAGGAATTGGTTGAATTTGGTTCATAAATTGGTACATATTATGTGCATATGTACATGTTGGGCATACTTGCTTGAATTTGGTTCATGAATTGGTTGAATTTGAGCATATAATGTGCATATACTATGCATATCTTGAGTGCATGTTATATGTTATTAATTTGATGTGCATATAGAACCTTATGTTTGTCATTGTTGGATTCAAAGGCTCTGTTAAAAATCTTGCAGGTTGAAAGTCAAATCTTCTCCACCGTCAGAAGTCATGTGTCCACCCGATGAAGTGTTTCCTGCCACCATTTCCTATTTATCGTAAGAAGCAGATTTTCAAAACAGCTCAAGAAAATCAAGGATTCTTGTTTCAGTCATTTGGTTGACGTGGACTGCATTGATTGGTTTGGCCAATCACTACACTATCCTTAAGGCTATTAAGGATAGAGTGATTAACAATTCCATATCCTTCCTATTTGCGAAAGATGTCACTAATAAAAATTTTAAAGCACCAATAATAATTTTTTGTTTTTATTTTATTTTCTTGAAATGTCATAATATCGGTATATGTGTTCCATATAAATTCTCCAATGTCAAATTTTGATTCTTTGTTAATAATTGTAACTTCAGATTAGCGCGTGGATCCTTTTATTAAGTTTTAACCAACGAAGTTCCGTGTAAAGCAATTGTTTTTTTATTTTATTTTTTTTGAGAAAAGTTCCGTGTAAAGCTTATTAACACTAACTTACAATAATCATTTGGCGCCTAATCATTTTTACACTAACTTACAATAATCATAAGGTGACGTGTTAGGATGTGACAAATGGAGAAATGTCACAAACCCTCATTCCATTTTTCTGTCATTAAAAAACTACAATAATAGCATATCACGTGTCTACTCTGCAGGGTTATAATAGTTAAATCCAAATCAAATAAATGAAGGATAAAAAATTAAATTAATTCGAATAATAATACTACAATGTAATAATATTTTATTATTATTTATAAGTAAAAAATTTTATATTTAATTCTCGTCAAAGGCATATTTGAAGTGCATTATTGCTAACATGTAAGACTAAGTTGATCTCTAAATAATATTGTTTGTTAAAAAAATAATTTTTTTTTGGAGTCATGATTTGTTTTTTAAAATAATAATGTGCTCATTAAGCAGTGAGATGTAAATTTTATTATTTATGAAATTCGAATTAATAATTAAATTTTTTGTTTTCCTAGCATTTCAATAAACCAAAAGTTATATTTAAATAAAGCAAGATAATACGAATATTTTCCCCTTCCTTCTGCATTTACAGGCAAAGTCTCTCTCTCTCTCTCTCTCTCTCTCTCTCTCTGCAAACGCCGATGGCTGAGAGACCCAGATTGCAAATCCGTGACCTTCTATTTCGCATAGATTATTCCGCCTACAGCTTTACGGTATTACTCTCACTCTCTAACTTTTATCTTTCTTTGTTGTTTGTTTCCTGAGAAAATAATTAGAAAGAAAATTTCACTCAAACACCAATCTGTGCTGCTTCTGTGAATAATTCAAACGAGTACGAGCTCGCTGAAGATCGGCGAGACGCTCTGTGCGGTGTGCATACCACTGATTGGACTGGTCGAGGCTTTCATCTTCAGCTTAGCTGGTTGCTTCGATCGCCACCGTCAACCTCCCCGCCCTTCCTTCACCCACGACGATGTTGTTCGACTCGCCGCCACCTCTCCATGTTTGTACACGAGCTTTTCTTCAATTTATAATTTTTAAGAAATGAAAATATGTTTTTTTTTTAATAAATTAAATTATTAATAGATTGAATCTCTCTCAGTTAGTGTGAATGAGGTGGAGGCATTGCGCGAACTGTTTAACAAGTTGAGTAGTTCCGTGCTCGACGACGGATTAATTCACAAGGTTCATCAATTTATGCACGTCTTTTACAATTTTCAATTTCTTTGACGTCATGGACTTTATATCTTTTTCTTTGATTTTTTTCATTTATTAGTAGCTGAAATTGTAAGAGGTCGCACTTGGTTGCCATCTGCGATGGCAAGTGCCTTCGTCCATGAGCGGTAGGTCTCGGGTTCGAGACTTTGGGAGCAGCCTCTCCATAAATGGGGGTAAGGCTAGCCGACATTCACCTCTCCCCCAGACCCTGCGTAAAGCGGGAGCCTTGTGCACTAGGTACGACCTTTACGACCATTAGTAGCTGAAATTGTATTTGTTGTTCATGTCCAGGAGGAGCTGAGTTTGGCGCTTTTCAAGACTCCGGCTGGTGAAAATCTTTTTCTGGATAGAGTAGGCTCACTTACGATATTCTAATTAAACTAATCCTAACTGCGGGAAGGGAGATTGGATGTCGGATGCATAGGGAGAACACATCCGCTCTAATTTCTTTTCCGGGTACATATATTAGTTGCTGCTTCTGTTTTTCGAGGAGGAAACAGAGTGTGAAGCTTTCATGATCTTTATTCTGTAGTGATATTCTTTAGCGTATAATAGCAAATTTTTCATCATTCATGTCAATGCGACATTTTTCCAACTATGTAATGTGACTAAGCGATTTACGTTTCATCAATGTTGTCATATTGATCTGTTTCCTTTTAATCTGTGATGAAATGGGATGTAGGTGTTTGATGTTTTTGACGAAAAGAAAAATGGGGTGATTGAATTTGACGAGTTTGTCCACGCGCTAAGTGTATTTCATCCGTATGCTCCTCTTGAGGCCAAGATTGATTGTAAGTAGTCAACCAACTTCAGCTGCTTGACATTATGTTTGGAGGCCTTTTGTGTTAAATGTTTTCTTTCGTCTTTGGTTGCTTGCAGTCGCGTTTAGCTTGTATGATTTGAGACAAACAGGATATATCGAGCGGGAAGAAGTAAGTATCTTGATGTGTTTGAGACTGAACAAGTTCTGTCGTTTTGATTCATCATAATTCTGTCGACAATTAATTTGTCTGTTGTATTACTTCTACGGCTCTACCTAACAGCTGCAGTTGCTTTCAGGTCAGGCAAATGGTAGTTGCTACTTTGTCGGAATCCGGCATTCAGATGCCGGATGAAACTCTGGAAGCTATCGTCGATAAGGCAAGAATTTTGGATGTTTAAAACTTCTATTTCTTGACCTTTACTCTGAAGTTTTACACTCTCAAAGTTATGTTTTCTTGCTCAGACGTTTGAGGATGCCGACGCTGACAAGGATGAGAAAATTAGCAAAGACGAATGGAAAGCTTATGCTATTCGGTACCCAGCAGTCCTAAAGAACATGACACTTCCATATTTAAAGTACCTTTCTCTTACTGTCATTCCTTTGTGTTCAACTCGTTTTACATTCTTTTCCGATCCATTTCTTCCCCTAAACATGTCCTAATTATGTTATTGACACGCCAGGGACATCACGACGGTTTTTCCAAGTTTTATTTTCAACACTGGAGTCGAAGATTGAAAATGTTGATAATGCTCTGCTACCATAAGCCGGAAAATCAGAATTGCTATGACCAACAAAACGGAGCTGTGTTGATACAGCTCATCTTTTCATAATCGATCGGATGTCTACAAAACAAAACTTCTAAGTCAATCTAATACACTCTCGCTAAGATATGTACAATGAAAAGGAGCTCTAAGATAAGAAAATGAAAACAAATACAAGAGAAGCTGGTCCATTGTCGGACTGCAACCTCGCAAGGTCCTGCGTGAGGGTCTGAACTTTTGTGGTAAGTTCCTTCCTAACACTAGTCAGCTTCTGAACTTCATAGAGCTCCCTTGATTGCATTTCTTCTTCGGCACGAATATCTGAAAAGCCTACATTCATCCGATGAATTTCTTCCTTGGCAGCGCCAACCTCAAGCTGCAACATCATTCGGTATTCAACCAGTCTCCGGTTATCAGCCAAAAGTGTTCGAATTTCAGCACGCTGCATTTCAAGTTCTTCCTCCAACATTGCAGGATGGGGAAGCGGCCGCATAGGAGGGCCTCGGCCATTAGGTCCTTCAATAGGATAGCCACGCCGGTCCTTCATTGCTTCGCGCCGAACACGATGTCTCCCTGCCATTGTAAGTTATCCTGAAACCCACAAATTTGTAGGAAATATCACCCTAAAGAAGGGGAGGAAATCAACATGTCAGTGACTGCTAAATCATTCTACAAACTAACATTATCTCCAAAGTTCCAAACTAACATATCCTATGCGCGCGCGCGCACACATCATCATGTATATAATAGTAATCAAGGTTTAAAATGTCGATATTATCGGCGATATTTCACTGATAAAATTGTTTTTGTGAGAGATCGATATTTTGACACTTATCCACCTAATTATCGTCAAAATATCGTGATATTATCAATATTATCGATAATATTGTGATATTATCGATATTATTGCGATAATATCACTCCACCTTCCTAACAGGCCTAAGGTTCGAGGGTTATGGGAAACGGCCTGAAAGGCCTGCGCTCGTCAAGAACCAACAGGGAAGAACGCCGGAGCTTCTACAGCTCGGGCTGATTGCAAACTACCACCCTAGACCCCGATCTAGGTACCAAACGAAAGCACAAGGCGAGAGGAGTGCCTTATACCTTCCGTGAAACGACCTGTGGTGGTCGGAAAACCTCTCGACACCCACGGTCTCGCCGGAGATGGGTGTGCCTATTCTCGAGCCGATTTCGTCCCAAAAACCTAACCGGAGAAATTCAAGAAACTCATCGGAAGGTTCCTGCGTTCGCCGAGTTGCAGATACGAGAAGGAGAGGGAGAAATACAAGGTTGCTGATGACGATGGGTGTCTTCCTTGAGCAGGTGCGATGGTGTGCGTGTGTGTATGTGGGTCTCGCTGTAGAGAGAAATGAGAGAGATGAGAGTTTCGAGAGAGAGAAAGATAGAGAATGCAGAAAAGAAAGAAGAAGAAAGAAGGGGTTACAAAATAAGGATTGTTAGGTGCTGCCACGTGGTAGTTTGAGAGAGAAGAGAATCTTAAGTTTATGACTAACTATGCACATGGGTAAACTATCATTTAACCCCTAAACTATTGCTGATAACTAATTCATTATATATAAATTATTATGGTGTGTTTAAACATCTTTCATTAATTACTATATATTTTCTACACTAACAATGTTTGTCAGCTCGCTATATAATTAACTTAAATCAGTTAAATCCATCATGCAATGCATTTTCTTCTAATTTTTTGTGATAAACTAATAGATAATTGACTAAATAATCATCCTGCAAAGTTTCAATAAAAATTTCCAAGTTTTTCTTACAATTTCCGTGGTTTTTATTCAATTTTTATCGATATCCATAATATCTCGATATTTTCATCGAAATTTATATGTTTTTGAACTACCGATATTTCCGATATCATCAATATTTTATACATTGATCGTAATGCAACTTCTCACGGCAAAAAGAAACGTACTGGTATTTATGTACGTATGTATGCGTGCGCGCACACACACAGCATCCTGTATATAATCGTAAAGCAACTTCTCACAGCAAAAAGAAACATACCGGTTTCAATTCCCTTAATACACAATTAAAATAACTAAGAATCCAAATTTGATTTTGGGTTTTGCGTATCAATTCTACAATCTGGGCGGTAAATTCCGAGCGAGCAATTTCTCAAATTTGATTTTGCGTATCAGGCTATTGAATGCTGCTTCTAGCGACGTCGTTTTGTCCTATTGGGCCATCAGATTGTAGAAACTATGGACTGCACTTCTTTGGACTTTGGATGGATTTTAAAGTTTTTATAAATTTTGGGGTATTCCATTAAAATTTGAAGTGATTCTCTGAGAGTCTGCGCATTTAATTAGGACTTTGAGAGAGGTTTTTTATTTTTATTTTTGAAGGACAGCACGATATTTATTGAAAGAGAGAGAATATGTACATAAGAGAGGATAGTATGCATACATAGACCGTGATAAAAACTTTGCTGAGGATTTCCACCCGATCAAAGAACAAAAAAGTTTCATGCACAAACCACTTAGAAATCTGCTATCCTCAACGATACAATGAAGAAATAAAACAAACTAAAGTGAATTATCTTCCAACAAAACGTCAGAGATGAAGCAAGGTGGTTCCACAAATTTTCAATCTTGAGAGTTTACTAAAATCTAAAGAAATCTTGGTGTAAGAGTTTATAACCTTCTAGATGTATTCAATTAAGAATGGATTTTAAAGGATTTTAAAACGTTGAAGAAATTAAAGAGATTTTGTAGTGTATTTTAAGTACAAATAAAACCCACCTCTCCTATTGAGAATTTGAAAAAATTCACCCAAAATTTTACATGAAATCAGTTAAATTCGACCAAAATTCATGAAGTAGAGGCTCAGTAACGAATTAATTGGGCTTTTTCTGGCCTAAGATAGAAATTTTAAAATAAATGCTAACCGCACATCTGGATGATATATATATATTTGTGTTGAGGTTGATGTGTGATTCCATCTCCAATGACGATGTAATAAGTTCGTATTTACTCTTCCAGTTGTTTTTCCATCAGTCTCTACACCATCAAAATTATTGGTAATTAGGGAAACTTTGTCTATACAAGTATTAAGCAAACATAACATTGCAATCATGCTTAAGCAGTAGTTAGCTAAGTTTCTCTTTTTGTTCAAATTATTCTAGGAATTTGAATTTGAAACTTTTGACAATATTGGAAAGAAAATGATCACAAAAATTTGGTGTGCACGAATTACGATTTAGAAGTATTTAAAAAGACCTTTAACATTTTGGAATAGTCAAAATGCTGCTGCTCATGCTGTAGCTTCATATGTTACCTCGCATGGGGGTGTGTTCTGTTGAGATGCTCTGAGTGGAGTTTTTATTTAATATTCTTGCTGAAGATGTAAACGTTTCTATTAGAATTTAATAAAAGTTATCCTTTGATAGAAAAAAATTAGGATATTAATGGACATCAAACAAGCGTATATAAATCTAGTTGTAGTAAAAAATTATAGATTTGATAGGATTTCATAAAATTGTGAATTTTGGTGTATTCTAGGATACATATATGTCAAAGGATTTAAACAATCTCATCCTTCCTCCAAAGATTTCATTAAATTCTGCTCCCCTCCCTACCCAACCTTACCAGCGGGTATCCATGTTGGCCAACCATTACCAGACTCACACCCACTACTCACCCCTCCTCCGAGGACCACCACCACCTCTTTCCAGTCTCCCTTCAAAATTTTGTAATTGGTTTTTTAAAATTTGATGGTTATTCATTTATATATCTAACGTACCATTATATTATAAGGGATTGGAAAGTGCTACATTAATTTAAGGCAAGTGAAAGTTTCGAACCCGACACTGGTGATGGGCATCAATGCTTGGGGAAGGAATGTGGGTAAGTGACGGGGATTGGTGATGGCATGCGAGTAAAGAGGTTGGGAAGGAATTAATTCATAGGAACTTTAACAAAAAGTTTCAGTACTGTTCACTTTAACAAAAAATCATATTTTTATACTAAAAAATCAATTCTAGTACTATTCATTTTCCCCTTTATTTTGTCTTTATAGTTAAAACTTAAAGTTTTCAAGTCATTTTCATTAATTTTCTTTTAATTCATTGGTCTTTATGAAGTTAGGATCTTGAAGGACTTTGAAGGATGTCCATGATTCATGTGGTAGGGGTTGAAGTTGATGTACAGGATACGAGTTTGTTATCTGGTTCGCAGGGATGGTGGCAGCTGCTGTTAGAGCTGGAATTTGTCTCGAAATCTCAGAAAAACCAAAACTATAAACTGATGAACTGTTCCGTAGTCGATACCAAAAAAAATACCGATTATTCAGTACGCGAATCGTAAGCTCCAAGCAATGTCCATCGCATACTATTTTTATAATAAAGATAAGATTTGCATGTTCTATCTCTATAAAAATAATAATATAAATAATAATACAAATAAATAATAAATATAATACTAATCGTTATAAATAGATAATAAATATAACATTACTTAAAATAGAAGTTTTAATTAAGAACCCCCAGAGACTATATATTTGTGTTGTCTTCTGTCTATATGTGCAAATAAAGGCTATCAAACAGGACAAAAAGAGTGAGCTTTGTGATATTTGCCGACTCGAACCACACGTGTGCAACAGGAGACCTAACCCAACGAGAAATTTTTAATTGTGACGAGAATATGAATAGTACACCATGTGTTTTTATGTAAATGGTGTAAAATTTTAATTTTTAAGTTATTAACCTTTTAACCCACATATCCTATTATTTATATAAAAACACGGAGTATATCACTTGGTGTGACGGTCATTTACAAAAATTTCTCCAACCCGACACACTCGTTTTCTTTTCCTCGTCTTTTCATGTCTGGCTGTTTTGTATCATTGCTTGTGTACAAAATTGTAAGTCTAGTGGGTCCCACCAACTCTCCTTTTGACCCTTATCGGCATCCTCCGCTTCATTCTTACAGTGGGGAAGTTCACAACTGTGTCCTCCTCGGCCGCCCACCTGCATTTGTTCATTTCAAACCAATTTGTAATTTTCAAAAAAACGTTATGTGTAATTAAATTATTAAATTATTTATTAGTTATACAAAAATAAAATAAAAAAATTAGATCCTAAAACGACATCACAACAGAGAACAGACCTTCATATTAAAAAGGTGTTGTCAAATATTTGTGTGGGAAGAAGAAAAAGAATTAGTCAAAGTTAGACCAAGAGATCAAATGGTATTTTTTTTAATTTTTTCCACTTTCTATTATTTAATATTTGATGGTAATATGCAGCAACTCTATCGCGAGGCTAAGAAAACCTCCTTGATTCTGAGTGGTTTTGTATTAAAAGAAGATCAAGAAAACCTTGATTTGTCTCTCTACTGTGTAGCCTCCATATTTATCCATTTGTTTATTGTCCACTTTCATGATTGTTGACATTTAGTCCTCCCACAGTACTGAGCTAGTGGCTACTGTACTTATTATTACCACCTACTTTGACTGCTTTTGGGAGTGCTTTCCTAAGAAATTTGCCCAAGGACTTTTAGCATAGGAGGCAGATTCCCATTACCATTACCATGTTCTTTTCATTTTCTTTTATATTGTGCTGTCATGGTTAAGTTATTTTAACATTTTATATTAATTTTTTTATAGAGATAATAAGACATGTTAACGTGGCTTAACCGTGACCGTACAAATAGAAGAGGATGTGAAGGATATGGTAAAAGGAGGGCACGTATAAACTTAAGCGCTTTCTTGAAGAAAAAAAAAAAGCACTTTAAACTAGTGATGAGCACTAGATACATGCTGTAGAAAATTGTCAATGAAGGTGTTGATAAAAAACTAGACAAATTCCATGCAAGCATGAGCTCAAGGCACTAACATGCATACATAACATTGGTTTATAACTATACTATTATTGCAATTTGTCTTCAATAATTTAGGACTAGTCCAGAAAATGAATGGCTTGACTCTAAAATTGAATCTTAAAGATCGAACAGTAAAAATTATTTAAAAGATCGGATTATATTAAACTGGACTACCAAAGACAAACCATATTATTAATGAAGTAATAAGTTATATGCATGAAAAGTTGAGTCATTCAAGATCAATCCAGTCTGGTGAATCACATGTGGACAAATGGTTGAGTTAGGTCCAGGGAAGAGAACATCGTCTGTTCCCCTCAAGAGCTCGGGTATCTGCCAGTCTATCTGTTATGATGTTACTATATTACCAAATCATGTGTATTATGGGCTTCTGATGGAGTCTTTAGATTTTTTTTTTTGGTCTTAACTTTCCTCACACATGGAAACCCATGTGGGTATATTGGTGGTTGATAGCAAAGGATGGTTGGAACGTTCTCAAGTGACTAATTATCTGTATATAGCACGTGACTTAAATGTTATGTAGTACTGAGTGTGCGATGCTACGAGGGTTTGGTTTTTTTTTTTAATTCAAACTTAGGTACATAAAACGTAAAACACTATGCTCAAGCCCATTTAACTAAACTCAGGTTTTCATATATATAGCAATTTACCCTAATAGTAAAAGAGCATGGTTGAAAGCAAATATGAAAAGGTGCATGTCATAGACAAGCTACTGATAGTGGAAGTGCCAGAAAGTTTGATGTATGCAATATTGTCTTTTGCTCAAATGGTAATAAATGTGGAAGAAATGCAGGACAACTCTGTTCAATCTCTCCCCAAAAGCATAAAGTTTGCATCTGGTTGAAGAAATCCCAAAAAGTATAAATGCCATGTATATTCTTTCATTTTCCCTCGACTTTTTGTGTTTGACAAAACAATATACCATACTACTCTAATCTACGGGACGTAATATTCAGGTATAAAATCACCAACATAGTATTCTGACCAACTGACATAACTCACATCTTTTCATTTTCTTTCATAGTTTTGAAAAACGCACAATATTATGCAATATAGCGTTCTATATCGCTTCGCGGAAGAATAAGCTATGCAAGTCTTGAATAGCTTACGCAAAACTGCTACATAACACGACATTGCATAGCAAAACCTCCCACGCAATGTGATTTCAAACTATGCTTTTCACTTAAGTTAATCCCTTAATATTATCTATTCAGTGAACTTAGACTTCATTTTCCACCAAACTCTCCCCACATAGACCTATAAATTAATTAACAAAAGCCTATAATTAAGGAAGAGGGATGCTCATTCTGTCATTCATATCTAATTACCTGAATTGAGTGACAAAGTGGTGTAAGAAAATGGAGGCTTCAAGCCTTGCTAAGTCAAGTCCAGGACACAGCCTTTGTCCTCCTCCAAAAGGAGTGAAGTTGCAGCTGCTCATATCTTTGTCCTGCAGAGATTATACAGCTCCAATCCGTTACTTGAAAACAAAAAGAGTCCAAATTAACGTACTAACTGGTTAGCGTTTTAACGCTACTGCATGCGTATATATGTAGTCATTCTTACTTGCCACCTCCATGGATTGAAGTGATAAGGCCAATCATAGTTATTCTGATCAAGATGAACTGATCTGAAATATGTGAAGACACACCATCCCTTTGGTATTAAATACCCTTTTATCTCCACATCTTTCATGGCCTTCCTCATCACCCCAGTTATGATGTTTCCCATCCTTAGGGTTTCTGTGATCACCTGTATAATTACAATAATTAAATTAAAAAGTTTAAAAAATGCAGAGTGTTCTGGTGAGTTACTGCTGTGAACTTTTAAATTACTGTGGTATTCACTTACATTTTGTGTAAATGGTAAGGACAAGTAATCACTCCAACACGGTGGCTCTCCAAGCTCATCTTTCAGTGCTTTTAACTTCATGTTCTCCTCCTGAGTTCATCATCAAGAATTCAATTTTAAAAGAACAAAACAACAATGGATTTTTTTTTTGTAAACTTCCTATTCCTTCACAGACAATAACAGATATTTTGTTTCTTTGGGAAATTTGCATACAGTACTACTGGTAAGAGAGATTTTATATTCGAATAATTTTGACGGGTTCGCAACTAATTTATTCATTTATCTCTCAATGTAAATGTATCATTATATTAAGAAAATATAATAGACTGTTCTTGTAATACGTGCTCCCGAATACCATGTTTATATGTCTTAGAATTCCACTTGCCCCATTAACTGTATTGCTTAGACAGCCACACGTGAAAAGAGCAAAATCACCAAAACGACAAGGAAAATGAAAAATGGCACATATAAAGTAGTCAAAGAGTTGGACTTGAGTGTCACAAAGTTCCAAAAAAAAAGATCAATCTTAGAAAAAAGATAGTGTGATGTTTATTATAACCGTGCGAGTAACGATAGAATCTTACATGCAAACAAAATATATATTTTGTTTCACTATTCATCAGCAAAGGTGGGATTGTGTAATTAATAGTATCCGTGCAGCAAGCAACAAGAAAGTCTTGCATACAGCTAGAAATATATTCCTTCTTCCTATCTTCATCACGCTCAATAAGTTAGCATGACGAGGGCAATGAAAAATGGATGTATTACCAGGATGAATCATTGCAGTAAAGAGAATTTGCTATTTACCAAAATGAAAGCAAAAAAATGAAGGAGATTTTTGCATACAGTTAATTGTTGGAGAGCAGTGGGGGAGTCTGAGAGGTATTTGATTGCAAGAGTCATGAGAAGTGGCACTGAATCCTCCCCTGGTATCATCATATCAATCATGTTATCTGCTATCAGATCTCCTGTTAACTGCTCACTTGTGTCTCTCAGCAGAACATCTACCACATCTTTGGGAACCTTGTTGGAGATTATATCACTCTCTTTTTTTTTAGCTTGTATGATTTCCTGTACTAGCTTGACCATTTTCTTCTTTGCCTGAAATTAATTAGGACTCAAAATATCATTACGAGAATATGATTAAAAAACCTACGGTAAACTGCTTATATTATCAGATTATGAATTCAGATCACATATTAAGACAAACCCAACTTAACCTAAGTTTTAAAATCACGGTCCAGCAACATAAGACTGTCTGACAAATGAACTTTTCATTATAAAGTAAAAATTGATAATTAACTTGCCTGTAATGATCTGTAAAGTCTACTTCCAGGAATGTTTATGGGTATAGACATGAGGCCTGCAATGAATTCTTGGAACTGTTTCTTTAGGAACTCCATGTCCTCACCAGGATCCAAACTAATCAATGCCTTGACAAGTACTTGGAAAGCAATCTGCAGACAAAAAGGACAATTTCTTGGTAACTTTTAATAAGGACTGTAAAGAGACTTAATAATTATGAATCTATTTCCACAGACAATATCATTCATGCAGAATTATTATGAATCCCATTTGGCAAAGGAGTAGGATTCTCTTCTTTCTAAATTCCCTCTATTTTCCTCTTCTTCTCTCACATTTTATTCTTTTCTCTCTCTATAAAAACTCAACATAAGATATTAACGCGATTTAATCATAACTGTTCAAATAAAATAAGAGAGAAATAGAGAAATTTAGAAGAAAGATAATGCTACTCTACTGGAAAATGCTTTTTCGCACTCCATTTTATCCTCTTGCACTTCCCCTCTTGTTTCTAGTCATATAATTAAAAGGATTAATCGCTGTTTACTACTCTTATGTTTCGTGATTTTCAACATTTAGTACATCAAGTTTTTTTCGTCCCAGAATCATACCTAAAGTGTTAACTTTGGGACAGTCTCATACATCCGTTAGTCAAACTGTTAAGTCTGCCGTTAACTGATGACGTGGAACCTATGTGGATAATGAATGGACGCTACGTGTCAATAAAGATCCACGTGGAATATTAAAAAAAAATTAAATTAAATTTAAAATTTAAAATTAAAAAAATTAAAAAACCAAACCTAAACCTAAAAAACCAATATGGGTTCATCTCTCTTTCCTCTTCCCCACCCAATCCAGCGACCAACCCCTCTTTTTTTTTTTTTTTTCAATTCTAAAAGTCGGAAAATACCCGTAGATCTCTCTCACACTTGTCTCTGTCTCTCAGTCTAACCTGTTCAAATCCGAAGTTTGTTTTTCCAATTTGGATCAGTTTCTCTTCTTCGTCGCTTCCGTCATTGTTGATGGAGTTGCAGAGGCGCCAAGACCAGAGACAGGGTGGAAGAGGCAGAAACGGAAGCTAGAGGAGGAAACCGGCGACGAGCAGGAGATCTCGGTGAAGTCCGGCGAAGCCAGAAAGGCGTTGCTGAGCGAGGTCAGCGAGCAGGTGAAGGTCCTTAACTCCACCTTCTCTTGAAGCGAACCCTATCGAGCTTCTGCTAAGCACACCACGCACGTCCTCGAGCTCGCCAAGAACGGTTGGTTGAAGCGAAATCCCTAAATCACCCTCTGATCTCGCCTCAATTTTCTTTATTTTTTTTCCTTCATTTCTTATCAGTTGTGAAGCTTTCGAGGTTCTTGAATTGTTCGGGATTAACGAAATCCCTAAACCAACCCCTTTTCTCTCTGCAACGGAACCCAGACCCAAAGGCCGAACCCCATATTTCTGCTGCTCACGATTTAATTTTTGTTCAGAATTCATTTAATTTTTGTTTCTTCTGGGACTGGGAACTGATTTAATTTAGTCTTGCTCATCGTGTTTAATCTTTTGTTTCAGTTTTGATTTTAATTAAATGTTAAGGCTTTTTTTAAGTTGAAGTTTGTATCTTTGTTCTCTAATGGAGATTATTGTGATGAGCTCGGACTGGGCTTTCTTTGTGGGTGTTTGGAGCTTCTAGTTCTTCGCCAGTGAAAGACGAAGGAGCTTGATCGAAGACGGAAGTGAAGAAGAAAAGGAGCGAAAGAGACGGAGGCGGAGGCGGAGAGGAGAGAGAGAAAGAAGTGGTTCTTGGAGGAATGGGAGAGAATCTTAAGAGGAAGGCTAGGGTTTCTGGAAGATCTGCGAGTCGGATTCCAGGTGGGAAAGAAGCCTGGGATTGGATTGGGGAAGACTGAATGGGTTCTATTTTTTTTTTTTTAATTATATATTTTTTATTTAATTAATTATTTTAATATTTTAAATTTTTTTTTAATTTTAATTTCCACGTGGACCCCTTAATGACACGTAACGTCTAGTCATTATTCACATAGGCTCTACGTCATCAGTTAACGGCATACTTAACGGTTTGACTAACCAATGTATGAGATTATCCCAAAATTAACATTTTAAGTATATGGACGAAAAAAACTTAATGCGTTGAAAATCACGAAACATGAGAGTAATAAACAGAGATTAACTCTGATTAAAAAGACGGAAACAAGCATCCGAGTGTAGGACACCACAAAAGTATAAAAATCATTTCCCTTTACAACTAGGTTCATTCTTTATAGAAGATCATAAATTCTGCCACTTAACCTAAAGTAGAAGCCACATATAAAAATTCAAATATCAATGATTTATTATTTGGTCACGAGAGAGAGATTTATTTATCCCAAGTGCTTAATGGAGCACTTATTGAAGAAAGATGAGGTTTTACTGAACAACCAATTGAGATTATAAACATATGCAAGGTTTCTTATCATGAACAACGTTGAGTTTTTATCGTAAAATTAATTGTCAATATAGAAAAGAATCCAATTACGTATAAACATATGCAAAATCTTTTCTCAATGTGAGATTCATAATCTCAATACTTATTTTATTATAAAACCATTTTAACAGAAGAGAAAAATCCACCAGTAAATCTAGAGAGAGATGGCATCTTTTGTTTTGTCTTCTGTCCATTGGAACTCTTCTCGAAGACCAAACAATCACAAACTTCAAACTTAGAGAGAGAGAGAGAGAGAGAGAGAGAGAGAGAGAGAGAGCTAACATGTTTGGTTTCATCTTGTATGTAAATGGGATGGTCGTCTGTCCAATTTGCCATGGATTGTTGGACATAGTTTTGCATGTCTGTGGTGATTTGAGCTTTGAGGTGTGGGGACTTTAAAAAGGCTCCAATGAGTCCATGGATTCTTCTCTGCAGGGCTCCGTTGATGAGCAAAATAGAGGACTTCCCCATCAATTCAGTGAGAGATTTTGGGTAAGATGGCACAAAAGATTTTGCATCACTCTGCAGAACAATTTTACTCACTTCTGCATCTGTTGATACAATTGTTGGACTTCCAAATATGTGTGACCTGAACACCTTCCCATACCTACAAATTAAACACCCCCAAAGATTCAAATACGTATGGGATTTTCAAGTTTTCGACTTTCGAAAATAATGAAGTAAATCAGCTGAATCATTAGAACTGAAAAGTTCTTATTGGGAATTTCAAGTTTTCAACTTTGGAAATTATCAGTAAAGTTAAATCAGCTGAAACAAGAAGCTGAATCATCAGAACTGAAAAGTGCTTATTGGGTTTTGTATCTGTAATGCAAAACACAAACCCAATGAAGCATATTCATTAACACAAGCTAATCAAAATTTAAGCATGGCAAATTATTAAATACAAAAAAAAAGCGTTTAATATGAAAGTAATACAAGTTATTTGGGTACTAATTAATTTCTGCTTTTACTAATTACGTTTTAATGTACTTACAAGTGGCGGCGCTTGTCCATGAAGCTCTCAGGGCAGTCGGAGTAAGCACAAGTCACAAACTCAATGGTTTCACCAAGAAAAGGAAGCCCAAGAGTTCCCAAAGGAAGTTGGGTTCTTCTGTGTTTTGATCCGATGAGTGAAGTATTAGCAGAAGCAGTAAAAAAGCTCAGAAAGTTGGAGTTGGTCGTGTTGTTTCTGTAGAGGAATATTATGGACAAGATCGACACGGTTGCTGTTGCTGCTGCTACTGCTGCTGCTGCTGATATTAGTACAATCAGTGAATTTTCCATTTTTTTAAAAGTTGCCGCACGAACGAATGCAGTACGCTCCTCTAAAAATAAGCGTATGCTTTGCCTTCAGCTTTACCTCTCTGCTCCCTCTTAAATAATAATATTATCAATCATGGTTGCAATGAGGACATTTTTGTGAAAAATAAATGTGCATGTGTGCAGTGCACGCGTGTGGGAAGAGAGAGAGAATGTTTATTTTGGTCAAAGAGAGAGAGAGAATGTTTAATTAAGGGAATATATTTGTATTGGGAGATGGATGAGATTTTTTTTTTGGCAGATGAAGAAGGTTAGTGTGGTGCCTTGAGATTTATAGCCAAGCATGAGCTAGTTTTGGCTTTTAGCTAAAATAGTTTTTGAGATTTATATAACTCCTAACTTTAGTTTTTAGGATTTAAAATCGATAAAATTGGTTCCTGAGATTGTCCACCATCAATCATTTTGATCATTCCGTGAAAAATCTTCATTAAACAAAAATAAAATGACAAAAATACCTTCAATTTTTATCAAATCATTTTGGCATACTATTTATTAAATTGAGGGTATTTTTATCATTTAGATCCTTATTTAACATAATATTTCACGGAATGGCCAAAATGATTGATGGTAAACAATCTCAGGGACCACTTCTATTGATTTGAAATCTCAGAGACCAAAGTGACGAGTTATGCAAATCTCATGGACCATTTTGGCTAAAAAGCCGCTAGTTTTTGGAGTTTTTTTTTTTTTGTTAATATTCATTTTATACGAGCGATATCGTGAAAAGAAGAAATTGAACCATGATCTCGTATACAGAAGTATATAATGCTATGGATAAGTCTAGCAATAAACTCTCTTGATTATGCATTGACAATGAAATATACGATCACAAATTCATCGATTTAAAATTTAGTGATTAACAAAAAAATGTGGAAGATCCCAGGTTTGATGCTCCGAGCTGATGAGCCTGCTTGACTGTGACTACGGGCAGAGTTCCCCATACCCTTTTTGGGTTCCGAATGAGTGGATAACTACAGCTTATCACTAGTTGTCCACCTTTTTATTTAAAAAAAAAAAGGAATAAAAAACAAGGAACATCAATCAAGCATTTGATACATTGTATTTCATGAGAAGCCAACTTTATGAGTTGGATTGACTAATGAGCTCAGCACTAGGGCTATTAAGCACAAAGGTAATCTGTTTATAGCACAAGTTATATGTTCATAGCTTTAGTGGAATGACTAATTAGACAAGTGTTCGAGAAAGTAAATCAAACTGACAAATTTAATAACATAAAACGTCGGAAGATATATGCGTAATACAACATGCATATGTTTATAGCACAAGGTATGTGTTTATGGCTTTGGTGAATTGACTAAGTAAATAAGTGTTTAAGTAAGTAAATTAAATCGACAAATCTAATAACATAACATGTCCGATAATCTATTCGTAACACGACATATATATGACATGGGAATATGATAAGAAACAACTTTCTCTTTTGCTCTTTTTCTTTTGATGCAAAAGTAGCAGAAAGAACTTAAAATTCTTTCATGATTAAGTTGGTTGGGATATAATACAGATATATCTATAAATTGAGAGACAAGTCCCACAAGTTGATGATTGATCATCTTGCGTGTAACGTGTACTGAGGCGGCCCCCATTGGCAGAGGCTCAGCTGCGCGGCCTCGTGCATTCATGTGAGACCTTGATTTATCCAACCACACTCCATCATCATTCCGTTACCCTTACCCTTACCCCCTTTTCTAGGAGAAATTTTTAATTTGCCGGAAAACACGGTTCAGTATATCCTCGTGTCATAATATTGGTTGGAGATTTTTTTTTTTCAAATTTTCAACCAATTGTATTATTACATTTAATGTATCAGCATGTGTTTCCTGTCATTTGGTACTACGATCAATGGCAGATCCATAGAGGGACTTGGGAGGTCCTATGACCCCTCGAAGACCCCTAAATCGTTGCTTGAAATTTTTCGGGGACCCCTCGTACTCGAATGAAGGTTGTGCAATTGCAACAATGGCATCCTCACGTGGAAGACGAACACGCGAAGGAAGAAAGAAAATTTTGCCTTTTACAACCTTGGCTCAAAATGCACGTTTTAGCCAACTAATTAAAACCTTTTAAAAAAAAATTAGACTATGGCATAACGCTGGCGTTTGCTTCCTTTTTGTTTTAAGTTCCCAAGACCCCGTCACTCTTCCCGAATCTCCATCCATTCCCCCATCCAAAACCTGAAACCCCCCATTTTCACATATCCAATCCTCAATTTCCCAATTCTCAGAACCCTAAAATCCTAAAATCCCACCCAAACTCATATTTGAATTTTACTCGAATATCATATCTCAATTTGTTTCAAATATCTACACCACCACCATTTGGTTCAAGATTCAAATAAGATTTGGTATTCTAATCTAATCTTAATCTAATCTCAACTAAATTATATTATTTATTGATGGAGATTTATAATCTATTATTGATATGATTATAAATGTGTTTTATGTTTGTATACTCATTTAATTATCGGAATTTTGTTTATTGATTAATTGGTATATGTTTTTTTGTGTTTTTTTTGTTAATGTGTAGTGTGGAGATAAGAAATATGGAAATGTTTTTCAAGCCAAAGAGCATATTTGCAAATAAAACATTTTCAAACTATGAACATTGTCGTAGACGCTTGAATTAGAATTTTATAGTTTGTAATGTTGTTTGCGTATGATTCATGAATAAAATGTATTATAATTTAACTTTTAAATGTTATTTTTATCTATATATATTTTTTACCTTTATTATTGGGATCCTCCGAGTTTAAAATTCTAGATCCGCCATTGACTACGGTTTAGTGGTATATTCCTTTTCACTTGTAAGTGAAAGGTCTTAGGTTCGATTCTTGCCAAAAGTAAATTTGAACCACATTATGTTAGCTCATTGTGAGGTTTAGCCCACTCACTCCCCTTAGTGTAGATAAATATCATTTGTTCAAAAAAATCAGGTTGTATTCCCAACACACTGAAATATCTCTCCTCCCTCTCCCTCAACTTTTGTCCTCTCTCTCTCTAAATCTCTGTCTTTCTCTCCTCAACATCTACAAGCTTAGGCCAATAATTGCCAGGCAATTGGGCAATAAGCAATTATTGCCTTAGTGAAAGTAATTACCCGAGTGCATATGCACCACGTAAATGAATAGCCCAGGCAATTAGCTTTAAAAATTTATTTTAAAAAATAACAAAAGATAATAATATGTTTGTGCAGCAAAAAATAATCTCAAAATTTAAAAGATGACACATGGATTTTTTTTCGAAGAAGACGAGATTGCCCTCATTAATTGGGCAAGGCAAACAAATGTTCCCACGCGAAGTTCAACACTAAAGGCTCGAGCAGCTGCCTACGACATCACCAAACTCCCTACTCGTGGCATGGAAAAGTTAAAGGCATTAAAGATAAGATTAATCACCAAATCCTATCGTTAATACATTCCTGATTAAAGATCAACTCAAACAAGTAAGGAATATTCATCATAATCAATCAAGGATGCCTATTAATCTCAAATATTCTCTCCTAATTAATAGCTTGGGATAATTCTTTCCTCATTCATCCTACGAATAACACAACCTGACCAATTGGAAGACGAAATGTGTTCGGCAAAACCCTAACACCGTGGCTGGCCATCTTCCTATAAATACTTCATCTACATCATTTTCTAATAAGTTTGTAATGCCCCGCCAATTTATTTCGGAATTTACATTTAGTGGTAGGCCAACAAATGTCCTAGTTACCTTTTATGTTAATAACCATTCTAACATTTCTTTCTTTGACGATTTCCCACTAAAATTTAATCTCGTTTATTTTATGACTGCATCTAACTTCTAGTTAGACTGCCTACGTACCCTTTGGAGGGATCAAGCTAATCGTAGTTCACAATTCATTTTTAATCCATTTCCGAAAATATTCAATACTATATTTAGCAATTGAAACACATCAAATGGATACCAAAAAAATTCAGAATATCGAAATCTTCATGAAGAGGCAGCATCAGCCTACTAGCCACGCGCCGCCGCAGGTGGTAGTTTCAAGTGAACGGAAACTTAGTTTTTCGACAAACTCCAAAAATTACCAAATTTTCCAGGAAAGTAGAGTTCAATGAGAGAAACAACTTTCATAAATGGGCCGAAGTCCAATTCAGTCGGAAAACACCTAAAATCGCCCTTGATCCTACTGGAACCCTAGGAATAGGTACTCCTTGATTCACCCTCATTCAAACCCCGACGCCTCAACCATTGCTTGAGCCTTATTCCTAGGGTTGAGAGAAGTCTATTGGCGGTGGGAATCGACTGTAATCATTGTCGGAATCACCGAAAAAGGGAGAAAATCGTCGGAACAACCATGGGTTTGTGGCTTCGATTTGCAAAATTGGATAAGAAGTTTAGAAATCCAACACCATAGGGATGTTGGGCTCGCCAAGAGCTTTCCATAGACACTGAAATAACCTCCAACGGAAATCGAACGGAGGAGATAGAACCGGGTCGAGTGGAGAAACCAAGTTGGTCGGTTCTCTCCTTCTCATTTCCCTCATTTCCCCTCATTTCCTTTTCTCTTCTTTCAATCTCAGCCACACACGTGGCACCATATCCACTCTCCAAAAAATTTGGAGTCTTCCAGATTAATAATTAGATTACCATTTTACCCTTAACTTCGTTCGTTAATGACACACCCCGATCGATGAAGGTCGAAACATGCTGGCCGTCATCGTGAGGTGATGTAACCATAAGCGTAAGTGATGTGAAAATGTGAATAAATTAAAACTAAACTAGAACTAATTTAAATTAAATAGTGAAAGAGTGCGCAGTCGTGGGAAGAACCCACTACAATTATTCAAAGCATAATAGACAGTACGACTACAATAAGGTAGTTAAAGTAGCTAAAGTACACTTATTACACAACATTGGATAAGTTCATACTTCTAAATACAGATAATGTCAGAACTATCAAGGGTCCCTCGAATGCCACGAAGAGTGTGGCTATCTAGGTCCTGGAAGGGCGAAAAACAAAGTTGAGTGGGTCAGCAAAACAACGTTTGTAAGAAAACCTTTATTTTTGAATATAATAACCCCTTGTTGTAAAACAAGTATAGTTTCCTTAAAACATACTACGTAAGTATGTA